AACCTAGAAATATTCTTAAGAATTGCTCTGATTTAGGAAAATAAAAGGAAAGGATTTGGGAAATACGAGAGGGTTTCAAAAAGTTCATGGCAAAATTATTGTCTTTCAGTTTCATTGTTCCATGAACTTTTCAAATCCCCCTAGTATGTTGTCAGGACCTCCAGAGAGGACTTTAACATATTTTTTTTTATCACTACCAGTGACTATAATATGAAAGAAAATGAGGGATATCATGCCCTGGGCCAAGGATACTCTCCTGTGTTTCTGAGCCTGATTTCTAAGATATAGTTAAGAGCATAAGCTTTGTTGTTGTTATTATGTGCCGTGCAGTCAGTTCCAACTCATAGCGACCCTGTACAAGGTTTCTGAGGCTGTAAATCTTTATGGAAGCAGAAAGCCCCATCTTTCTCCCATGAAACAGCTGGTAGTTTTGAACTGCTGACCGTGAGATTAGCAACCCGATTTGTAACCACTACGCTACCAGAGCTTCTTGTAAAAACAAGGATATGCTAGGAAGCTGTCAGAAGCATATGTTAGGAAGAGTGCATGAAAGGAAATACAATATGTAGTTCACCTACATATTGTTGTTAAATGTTGTCGAGTTGGTTCCATTGTATAGTGTTTCTGAAGAGCGACTTGTGGGTTTGAACCACCAGCCTTGTGGTTCAAACCAACCTGTGGTCTAGTTCTTATTCTACAGTGCCACACCAGGACTCCTCATAGCTACTCAATAAATAAATGGTGTTCTATGAAGAAAAACGGCATCAGGATTGGAGGAAAACTCATTAACAGCCTAAGATATGCAGATGATACAACCTTGCTTGCTGAAAGTGAAAAGGACTTAAAACATTTACTGATGAAGATCAAAGAGCGCAGCCTGCAGTATGGATTACATCTCAATGTAAAGAAAACAAAAATCCTCACCACTGGACCAGTAAACACCATTCTTATCAATGGAGTAAAGATTGAAGTTGTCAAGGACTTCATTTTTCTTGGATCAACTATCAACACTCATGGAAACAGCAGTCAAGAATCAGAAGACGTATTGCATTAGGCAAATCTGATGCACAAGACCTTTTTTTTAAGTGTTGAAGAGCAAAGATGTCAGCTTGAGGACTAAGGTGTGCCTGACCCAACCATGGTATTTTCAGTAACCTCATATGCATGCAACAGCTGGACAGGGAATAAGGAAGACCATAGAAGAATTGATGCTTTTGGGTTATGGTGTTGGAGGAGAATATTGAAAGTGCCATGGGCTGCCAAAAGAACCAACAGATCTGTGTTGGAAGAAGTGCAGCCAGAGTGCTCCTTGGAGGCCAGGATGGCCAAATTTCGTCTCTCATACTTTGGACATATTGTCAGGAAGGACTAGTCACTGGAGAAAGATATCATGTTTGGTAGGGTGGAGGGTTGGAGGAAAAGACGAAGACCCCCAGCGAGATGGATTAGCAAAGTGGTAGCATCAATGGGCTCAAGCCTGGCAACGATAGCGAGGTTGGCCTAAGATCAGGTAGTGTTTTGTTCTGCTGTGCATAAGGTCGCTATGAGTCGGTACCAACTTGATGGCACCTAACAACAACAACAACAATCTTGGTGTGGGCTAATGCATCAGACTGCAGAGTCGTTTGAACTGCAAGGTCAGTGTTTCAAGCTCACCAGCAGCTCCTTGGAAACCCTGTACAGGGTCACTATAGGTCGGAATTGACTTGATGGCACTTAACAACAACAGCAGTAGCTATTAGAGATTCAAATTCTAGTGATCCAGAGAAGCATACCATCTAGAGGGCAGATATCTAGTTATGGGAACAGTAAGTAGTAGAGAGACAATCTATTCTACCTACTAGTACTTGTTGCGCCAGCCCTCAACTTCTCTTTTCTTGATTTGAGGGGGGAAGAAAGTATTGTCTCTTGTCATATGAGTTTGGATCTTGTTTCTAGGGAGACCAAAGATGGTGGAAGAATTATCATGGAAGTTGATGGCAAAGTGGCAAAAATCAGGAATTTAAAGGTAAGCCTTATTTCATTCTACTGAGGGCTTCTGGGGTAAAGTTGTGTATGTGAATGTTTTTAGAGTGAGGATGGGTGGCAGAGAGGAGGATATATAAGAAGAATTGTGGGAAGCACTTGGACCAACCATAAAGCTGATAGGAAAATAAAACAGGAAAGAAGTGTAGGGGATGTTGGCAGCAAGCAGAGTGTAGCTGTTGTGGAAACTAGTCAGTAGCTGCCTTGGCTAGCTTAATGTGTACTACAGGCAAATCCGTGTGTACAAGAGGGCTTTAAAACTTTGTGGGGAAATGGAGTTAAAAGATAATGGAATTTTCCCACACAGTTTTGAAGCCCCTTGTATATCTAACTGAACTGACCACCAGTTGGACTTTGTCCAAGCCTCTCAATTGGTAGCTGTCCATTTTTAGAGGTATTATTAGGGATTGTAGTAGGCATCTGCTAATGCAGGATTCATTTTGGCCACATGAAAATGAGGTCCTAGTGAAAGCTTTCAGATTCCAAAAGGGAGTTAGTCAGTAGCCTGTCTTTTTTTTTTCAACTGCCATAAGTTTTGCTACAAGTTCTTTTTCACTGATATGACTGAACTTTAAATCACAATTGGCCAGACAGAACTTCCTTCCCTCACCCCTCCCAGGGCTCATTTCCTCCATCCTGTTCCTCCAATCACCAGGCCAGCAGAAGGTGGGATTCCAGTAGAACACTTTTTGTCTTGGGGAGGAGACAGAAGTTGGCCATGTGACCGACTACTGTGATAGTCAGCTTGCAGGTGGTACTCTGCATGAGGAAGCTGGCTGGCAGGAGTGAGGACTACCTGGACCCCTGTGTTGCTTCTGTGATGTGATCTGTTTCCTTTTGTCAGTAGTTCTCTGCTAAAAGAGAACAGGACCTGCCAAACTTTCAACAGGAGCTCCCCAGAGACAAAGAACCTTTCATTCTTTGTTTCTTGTTTATATCTCTATTGCCTAATCAGTCCAGTTGCTTTGTTTTGGGAGCTCATATTTTTGGTTCTTTAGAATAAATCCTGGCCAAATCAAACCCTAATCTGTCCTCTACACACCTCCCTGGCTGCTTTTTCCCCTGAGGTCAGTCACCCACTAAGAATCTCTTAGTCATTCTGACAGCCTCATTCTTCTGTAGCGTATGGCGGCTAGTACCAGAGATGGCCTTTCCCAAGCGTAAACTTTAAATAGTAAGAAAAGGCATTTCTGTGATTAATGCTGTTTTCTCTAACATCTGTGGTAAGTGCAGTTCTGGGTTCTGGCTTGGCCCTCATCTACCTTGGACAGTTGGGTTGGTCCTAGCTCTTCTATCTAACTCAGTTTCAAAATCACTTGGGATAGATCCCCCAAACAGCGCTGAGAAAGCCATAAATTGACAAGACTGTCAGGCCTGGGTTTGAACTACTCATGCACTCCCAGTTTCTTCTGTAGAGATGCTTCCTGAAGAAATGATAATGAGAGAAAGATGCCCAGAGAGGGAAAGGCTCTTTCTTCCAAGCTGCCACATTTCTCACATGGTTGGTTCATAAGGAGGTAGACTTAGACAAGTTTAATTCTCTGGGATTATATTTGTGCCTAATGAGATGGGGACAGAAGTTACTATTTTTCTTTTTCAGGTACATATTGTAAACATGGCATGACCAACCCAGGTCTCTAACTACAGCAAAGAGAAATTTAGGACCTCTGTCCAGAATCTGATATTCTAATAGAGATGACATTGGATCCTATGTGTGGTTACAGGTGGACAGTCGGTCAGATGGCTTTGGGGACTCCCGGGAGAAGGTTGTAACATTTGGCTTTGATTACTGCTACTGGTCAGTCAACCCAGAGGACCCCCAATATGCATCTCAGGATGTGGTAATACCATTTATTATTTCTCCATCCCTCTTTTTCAGTTTTTCAAAACAACTACTTATGGTATTTTGGTCCGAAGCTGAGAAACAAAAGTAAAAAGTATCACTTCCAGAAAGAGAAAAACAGATGGGAAAAGACTCCTTGCTCAGTGCATGAAAGTGGCTAGTTGTCCATGTAGGCCTCAGTATGACTTAGTGGGATACAAGTTAGTGTTTTGCTCCTGTGGTGGGTAATTGTACTCACCTTAAGTCAATACACACTTGACTTTGAGTGGCACACAAGAGAAGGGCCTAGGAATCCTACAAACTAGTTTCCTCTTTGTGCCTTATGCTTGTAGGCTGAGTATGAAAGGGTCAGACAGCCTGAAAGGTATGTAGAAAATGAGGTCCACTTATCTGAGATCTGAGGATCAAGAAACCAGCCAAAGCTTTGCTGAAGCTGTTGGTCACCCTTCCTGAGTCTGGGTAACCTATACTCTGATAGCTCTGTTTAGTTCTCTCGCAAAATTCAAGGCAGCAGGTCTGGACAGTTGGGTCTGGAGACTTCCTTCTGTTCTGTGAAGCAGCAGCATTGCTTACCAGGTCGTGTTCTGATTTGAGCACTGTCAAAGGTGACGTATTCAGTCCTCATGACGGCCAGCAAGCCTTGCCTCATTCAGTCCTGTGGTTACAGGCTGCGGTCCTCTCCCTACCAGCCGCCAGGGTACTCTCTGTGGAAAACCATCCCTAAAATTAGAAACACTATTTACCTGACATTTGTGGGTCAGTATCATGCTTACATAGAAAAGAAAAGAATATTACAGGAATGTGTCCTTAGGAAATACCATTGAAAATAGAAATAGTTTGAGGGGAACTCTAAGCAACCAATCATTGTGTCTCAGTTTATATATCTTTGAACAGAAAGTCAAAGTGTGTTTCTGCTAAGTGTTTTAGTCTTTTGTGAAACTCTTTCTAATTATGCCAAAGGAATAATTAGAGTCTGAATGATTTACAGGAGAAAATACTGATTTTCTGTTGATAACAGACTTCTGAAGATGATTGGATAGTTTTAAACCACTGAGATGTCATTCCCCTAGTCTTCCCTTCAGAGGGTAACTTCTGGAAGCAATCCCCTATGCCCCTGTGGGACCCATGTCTCTGTAGGTCCCTTCACCTATAATATGAGCCTCTGTCCTTTGAATATGAGAATACTGACAGGTCCAAGTTTGTCTTACGGCCCTTGTTTTTTATCCCAGCACCCAGGGTGAGGTTTCCCATTAACTGGTATATGTAGGGTTTCATTGAAATCCTCCAAGAAAAGCCACAAAAGGAACAGACTCAGAGAGGGTGGAACTCCTATTGCAATCCACAGTTGTGTATATAGTCGAGAATATTTTTCATAGAAGATGGTATTCTTTCTATTAGCAGAAAGTATAAACATTCTCATGAATGTTTCAACCCTCCCTGGGCATAACCAGGTATGTTCTATACATAAGAAAAATCAAGTATTTTATATAATATTTGATAAGTCAATAATCTGATAGGTGTGTGTGTGTTAAAACAAAGCAAACAAGCTTATGCATGAGTTGGGTGTGAGGCTCATGATTTACATTTACAAGGCTTAGATATATAAAAATAATCTAATAGAAGCACAGAAAGTCATAGAGGAGTAGAATTCATAAATATGATTCTTCTTCTGTTGTCTGATTTGAAGTTCAATAGAAAGATCAAATGGAGTAGACTCACTCAATGACTGGTAAGACTGAGGAATTTGCACTGACAACCTAAGACAGGCAGCGTCCCTTAAACAATCAATAAATAAGGAGGATTCAGATGCAGACAGTACAGACCCAGTCAGGAGGCCAAGCCCCTGTGGGCCCAAGCGTTGTTGACCGTCCAAACCATAGGCTCTGAGGATCAGACTTTAGCTACCTAGCAGACATAGCAAACTGTCCCTCATCTGATTATTCAGTAATGCTTGTTAGTAATCTCATACATGAGCCCTGGATATCCACAGACAAATGTAAAAATCTTCCCTAAAAGCCGAGACTGTAAATTCCAAAAAGCCAAGTCCCCCCCCATCCAAAAAAAAAAAAAAAAAAAGCTAAAGAGGATAGAGAGAAACACTGAAACTGATGATATATGGTGGGGATAATAATCAATGTAATGAAACAAGCTATTTGAATGGTTGAATGTGAAGCTGATGATGTGCCCTGTAAACTTTCACTCAATGCAAAATAAAATCATTTAATTTTAAAAAAAAAAAAAAAAAAAAAAGGAGTAGACTCAGACAGGAAGCCTGTGCAGAGAGATAAAATCTGTGTCTCCTGAGGTTTATTCCAGTTTGTTCATTAATTGTCTGAGGCCCTCATCAATCCCAAGGGGAGTTTGTACAGGAGAGAGAAGAAAGGGAATCTCTGTCATAAGCTGGGGGAGAGCCAGAGGTCCCTGATGGTGGTAGGACCCATATCCACATGGTTTGATCAGAGAGCCTCATTGCTTAAACACAGAAATTGGAGGTCAGGCTTAACCCTAATCATTGTAACTCAGAGACCACCAGAGGTAGAAGAAGCAGAATGCCATAATTAAGCTTCAGGTGGAATACTACCTAGTTTATCCTTTCTTAAAGCACAGAAATCCTCTCTATAACATTTATGATATCTTTAAGTATCAGTTTTATAGAGGCATGATTAAAAAAAATTTTTTTATTATGAATTGAGTGCAGGTTTGTGGAGCAGATCATCAGTTTGACATTCAACAAATCATACACTTTGTTTCATCTCAATGATTGCAAACCTCTCAATGTAACAATCACCTATTCCACTTCTGCCCTGTGTTTCCTGTTTCCACTCCTTCTCATTTCCCCACACCCTTATAGATTGTGTTCTAAGGTAAATGCTGCCCTTTTGATCTCGAATGGTTGACCATTCTATGGTGTGTGTACCTCATTAATGTCAGTCACCCCCATATATGTACCTATCTATTGCTTGGCTAAATATTGAGCCATGGGGTGAGTTCCAGACCTGAAGGTAACCCAGGACTATAGTTTCTAGATTCCACAGTCTCTATCTGACCAGTAAACTTGGTTTTTTGTTTTTTATTTTATGGTTTTGAGTTTTGTTCTACATTTTCTCCCACTCTATCCAGGACCTTCTAATGTGTTTTCCTTTCAGAACGGTTGGGTAGTAGAAGTCAGGCACTATCTAGTTTTTCTGGTCTCAGGGTCATGGAGACTAATGTTTCCATAGGCCATTAGTCTGTTGGACTAACTGTTTTTATGCATTGTTCAATTTTCCTTTCTTCCAGACAGGGAGACACCAATAGTTGCACCTTAGATGGTCATTCGTGAGCTTTTAAGATCCCAGTTACTACTCTTCAAAGTGATATGCATGGGACTTTCAACAATCCATACATGTTGTGTTTCATCTTAGTGATTGAAAGCCCCTCAGTGCAGTGTCATCTCTCCCACTTACTCCCTTGTTTGTTTCCGGTTTCTAGTCCTCCTTTTCTGACCCCTCTGAACTTAGTCTTTGGGTAAATGCTGTCCTTTTGATCTCAGATGCTTGATTATTCTAAGGTGTGCGTCCCTTACTAGTGTCATTGTTCCCCTTATAGACCTGCCTCTTGTTTGACTGGAAACTGAGCCACAGGGGTGAGTTCACTTCCAGACCTGATGAGTGAATAAGGACCATAGTCTTGGGGGTGTCCCAGTAGTCTCTGTCTGACCAGTAAGCCTTATGATTATGAATTTTTTTCCACATTTTTCTCCCACTCTATGCAGGGCCTTACTAAAGATCCCTTTCAGAGAAATTGGTAGTGGTAACCAGGCACCATCCCCTATTTCTAGTCCCAGGGTTGTGGAGACTGATACTTGTGTGGTCCGTTAGTCCACTGGACTAATTGTTTCCATGTGTCTTCAATTTTCATCACACTTGAAAATCATGTGAGTGAGTAGGAGGTTTCCTCTTACAACCACTGAATTCAAAACTGAGTTTATAGCAGTAATGTTATTGTTTTTAATATTTGTTTAGTGTCCTCACTACACTGAACCCTAAACAACACACAGAGGGCATCCATTGTCTGCCTATTGACAGAGTCCTGAAAGTGTGTGTGTGTGTGAGAGAGAGAGAGACAGACAGACAGATTTGTTTGTGAGCACTTTCACCAGTTCTTTCCTTCAGACAAGGAGAGAACAATAGTTATACACCGTAGATAGCTACTCAGGAACTTTTAAGATCTCAGTCACTACTTTCCAAAGTAGGATGTGGAACATTGTCTTGTGGACTATGTTCTGCCAGTTGAGCTTGGTGTACCCCAAGTCCTGAACCCCCAGGCCCAACGACTCATTCCCTCAAAGTGTTTGGTTATATCTAAGAGGTTTTCATAACTTTGCCCCCTGTATGCTCCACTACATTCATGGATCTATTTGCAGCAAAAGTAAATACCTTTGTCCAATTACCCTCTGTTAACAGCTCTCCATTCTTAAAAGTAGATCATTATTGATCTAACATGTGCTTTCGATTTTTGTTAATATTTGCTTTGCACTGAAACTTTACCTCAAAATTGGCCTACTTTGTCTGACTTCATACTTTGTAATAAATCTGAATTTTTTTTCATATGTAATCATTTTAATGTTGTTATTGTTGTTAAGTGCTGTTGAGTCAGTTCCGACTCATAGTGACCATGTATAGGGTTTCTGCGGAGTAGCTGATAAGCTTGATCCACCAACCTTGCAGAGTTAAACCTGAATTCGAATTGAACAGTAACATATTAGCTGGCTTACTTTGGATTCATCCTCTGTGAATCCTAGTTTCTATAATAGGAATTTTAATATATACCTCAAAGAGTCATTGTGAGGAGGAAATGAAATAACTATGCAAAGTGCCTAGCCCAGTGCTTGACAATTAGGAGTTGAATGAATGAATGTAGGCATTCTGTGGCTTGGTCCCTGTTGTAATTACCATTTTCACAGTACTAGAAAAGCAAGATGTCCAAACTTTTTTCTAAGAGTTTAATTAGATTTAA